AGTTGTGTCAAATATTTAGCATAATTCCGTCCACACATCATCCGATGTCTTCTATCTAATGTTTATCGTTATGATAGGAGTAACCATCCACTGGGATTGATCTGTATCTATAAGCCTTCAGTCACCACCTAGGAGACTCACAATATTCTTGTTGCTCGGGTCATTTGTGCTTTTAGTACTACCAAGTCACATCTAGGTCATGGGTTTAAAACTTTAACCCTGAACATCTTCCCCTGTATCGCCGCCAAAATTCCACCCACACGTGACCAACTACAAAATTCGTTGTTTTTTTTTTATGTTAGATTAGGCTTAGAGTGAGTACCTATGTTAGGGTTTAAGTTTAACCTTTTATATAGTAAAATCGCTCAAGGAAAACTTTTTGTTAATGCGCAGAAGGTGATTTGATATGAGAAATGAGCGATTTTTGTCAAACCGAACGTTTGGTTTGAATTTTCCTGATCGTGTAATGTTACACCTGATCTTGAAATGTGATTGGATTCTGATCACGTGGGTGGAATTTTGGTGGCGATCTAGGGGTAGTTACCCAAACCTCAAGGCCACGTGTTTAACAATGATAAAGCAAAAAATCATAAACAAAATTCAGCTTTATAGCTTTAGATGCTAACGATAAATATTAATAAATTTTAATATCAACCGTTATGTTTTATAAGTTGTACTTTGTTCTTTTGCTTTTTCTACTCTTTTTTTTGTTAATTTTTCTTTATTACTAATAGTTTGTCAATTATCAGTGATAAATAATCGCATTTTCATAAACTTTTAAAGCGTTATTTAATGAGAAATCAAGAAGCCTAGATATTATATTATAAAAAATTTGAGATTTTCCAATTAACTTGAAATGAATTAAATTAATGTATACTCAATTTTGTATTTACAAGGAAGCATTCTTAATAAAAAGGGTGAGATGACAGCAACAACATTATAAAAAGCATTTTGACGAAGTGATTACCGAATTTTTTTTAGGTAACAATAATTGTAAAAATTATAATTACGAAAAAAAAGAAACATGAACGATTAGGAAATAAATATAACAGTTATTTAACGATTGAAATACTCTTATTTCATATCCTTTATTTACAACAATTATGTATCAATTAAAAAATCTATGTTAAGACAGTAAAGATAAATTTTAGTAGCTCTTTTAATGTCGCATGTTTTTCTGTTCATTATACTTGAATCTATCCTTTTTTTTTCAACACTTGCAAGAATAAAAGAATTTCATGACATGAAACCTTCAGCAAAAGGAGGTTTAATGGATGTCAAGTAATATTAAATTTTAAAAAATCCAAACCATTTTAAACAAATTGATGGCAAGTTCGTTATATTAAAGTTTATATTGTTAGAAGCTTATATTGTTAGTGGCAACGGGTCACAACACAGACCAACCAACCAATCACCACCTAAAAACACAACACAACCAACTCACACCTCACGATATACTCGATCGTAGAGACGATTACAATTTGGCAAGGTAAGGCGTATCGGGTATATCGTGTGGACAAAACAAACTGATTTTGACTGCAAGTGCACTACTCACTATTATTCTCTCTATTAGGGGGTGAAAAGAGCCCATATTTAAAATGAATTACATGTGGGGGAAACTAATCTAAGCCCGCGAACCAAAGCATGCCGCTTTTTTGCTTTGCTTGGCTCTCTGTTTAAAACAGATGGGCTTACCATGGGCTTACTCCTGCAGCCACATCTCCATGGTCTTGAGGCTTCGTTGGAACGACTTCTCCACGATTTCTTCACGACTCTATGGGACTTCGGATCGGGGCTTTCGTCACGTTTCGGGCCTCGTGACGTCGAATTCGGCGCAGTGAGTTTTGTCGGTTTTGCCACCAGCAATATGAAAACAATCGAACACGGGATCAAAAACGAATTGACATTACTAAGTCATGCTCTTGAAAAAGAAAAAAAAAAACAAAAAAAAAAACAATCATTATATTTAAAAAAAAAAAAGTGTATGTTTTACGTGGTGAATATAAATACTCATAATTATGTTGCTAAAATATACATTAATGTATATTTGTTTGATTACGCAAATTTAGCCTGTACTGTAGTCCATTCCTTTCTTCATCTTATTGTTTTTTTTTTTTTTTTCTTTTGGTTAAAATCAGGGTAGTCGAATTTAAGCAAGTTACTCAGATTAGAATAAAAACTGTATAATTCATAAAATCAAATCAGATTGATTGACGCAAAACATCTATAAAATTGCATAATAATATAATCGTATTAGAGCTTATTATTCAATATGCAAAATTTATAATATTGAACAAATATCAACTTTTCGTAAATTTTTTTTTTGATAGATCAACAAAACCAAAGTTAGGTTTGATAACTTGCAATCATGCTATTCGTATCCCCAAATTTGAAATTCATACCCCATGCAAATTAAAGTTTTTTTTTTTGAACTTTGGGTAAAGATATCTCGACAACCACCAAGTCAAATTCGACAAACTTTTTTTTTATTTGAATTCTATGCATTCGTAGAATTCAAATAAAAAAAAAGTTCATTGAATATTGTCTGGTGGTTGCCGAGATATCTTTGCTCAAAGTTTTAAAAAACTCGAAGCATTTATCAAAACAATTTTTTTTTTTTTTTATTAGAACGAAGATATCTCGACGCTCACCAAGCCAAATTCAATGTGCTTTTTATCTGAATTCTAAGAATCTGTGGAATTCAAATAAAAAAAATTTATTGAATTTGGGTTGATGGTTTTTAAGATATCTTTGTTCAAATTTTTTTAAAAACTCAACGCTATAAATGGAAGCTGTGCCAAAATTTTTTTTTATTTTTGAGCGAAGATATCTCAGTAACTATCAAACCAAATCTGATGAACTATTTTTTTTTATTTGAATTCTATGAATCTGTAGGATTCATAATAAAAAAAAGTTCATCAAATTGACTCAGCCATTGTTAAGATAGCTTCGTTTAAACATTGGGAAAATTTTGGCACAGCTTCTTTTATAAAAAACTAGTGCAATGGGTGGCGCGAAAGCGCCACCCATTTTTTTTGTATTTTTAGGTAGCATTATTTATTGTTTTATATTGTGTTATGAAATTTTTGTTAAATAGCTTTTAGTGCGTATCGTGGTTCGTTTTTGTTTTTTATTTAAATGGGACAAAATGTTACGTATATTTTGTTTTACGATGTTGTTATGTATATTTGTTATTAGGGGTATGTGTGTTTTGATTTGTTATTTTATTGTGTGTAATAATTTGTGTTAGGATTTGTAAGTTTTTGTTTTTAAGGTGTGGTGAAAGGTGGTTTATTTAGGTTTGATGTTTGATTAATGTTTTTTTTTTGAATTAATTTAATGTGTTAACAGATATTATGGACACATAAACCTGGTTACTCTGTCGTGTTTTGGTGTATAAAATTGTTTTTATTAGCGGGGTTTTTTTTATTAGTATGTATTACGTGTTGTTATTTTATGTGTTGGTAATTTAATTATGATTTATGTACATGGTTTGCTTTGTGTTGTTTGGAAGTTATCGATAGCATTTAGTGTATCAAGTTTTGTTTATATAAGTTATGAGAAATTTTTTATAATAGGCGATTATTTGCAGATATAACGTAACTGAAAGTTTGATGGCAGGTTTTTTTTATTTATTTTTTTTTTGAAGTTATTCATTTGGTGGGAAAAATTTAGTAATGTCTAGGTTTAAATGAATTTGATTAGTTAAGAATTATTAAATTCTACGTGTGAGTATTTTGTTTTTGTTAACGTGATTATATTCTTTTATAGGTTTGTTGAATTGAATTTTTAATTTGCGGGTGTAGTCGCATTTGCGTCATTTATTGTAAGCGGTTAGTTTATTTGGTAAATATGTTGTATGGTGCGATTTTAATTATTTTTTGTTAGTTGCGTAATTTTTTAATACTTAAAGTATTAGTATCGTATTAATAAAATTTGTATAAGCGTGTGTTTATTTTATGCATATATATGCTTGAGAAATATTTATATATACTTTAGATACGTTTAAGGCGTTAGTTTTTTTTATTTTATAAAAATAAATGCCTTGTTACGCTGATACTATTGTTCGAGTTAAATACGTTAAGCAAAATGTTAAAGAGGATACTAATACCTTGATTGTGTGGGCTCTCGGGGCTTATCCTGTGGAACGGGAAGATTACAATATCGAGATGACTTTGTTTGCCCCGTTTAAATCTGATGATCGGGATCCTGAGTCTCAGGCAGTTTTTGTGAAGGTTAATTTTTTTTCAGTTGGTAGTAAGATTGTTCCTGGGTTTTACGAAGGGAATAAAAGAGCAAAGGTAATTATTGAGTTTTTTAGTTGTAAAGTATTGTTATTAATTTTTATGTTAATTTAGATGACTGTTTCGTCTTCTACACACGTGACTATACTTAATAAAGCCGAAGAGTCTAATAAGTGTCCGTTAAAAGTTTCTTTGCTCGGTATTCCTCAGGAAGTGCCGAATGTTGTTAAGGAGGATGCTATTGTTCAGATATTGGTATCTGATTATGTTGGGCAGGAGGTAAATTTTAATATGCAAGTCATTTTTCCGTGTCGTAGCGCACGTTTCGCATACGTAAAGGATAATATTCGGCCTAGGGAATCGTTTATTTTTGTTGTTGGGCAATTGGAAATTATTAAGAATGAGTTCTATGTATACGCAAGAGATATTAATTGTATTGATGCGCAGTTTATTAGTAAGAAGAACATTTTTGATCGTTGTATTTCTCATGGTTCTTCGTTTAAAAATTCGATTCGGTCTAAGTTGTTGGCTACTCACGATAATTTTGCCGAATGTTTGAAAGGTGTACCTGAGAGAGGAGGTATTCCTTCAACGGTTTCAAGCGATAATGGTAATATGTTCGAATCAAATTCTTTTTCAATCGATAGTCATTCATCTAAGCGTGCGCGAGTCGAAGATTATGATGATTCTGCTGAGGAATTTTATGACGATTTTGCTGAAAATTCGAAAGTAAGTGTGAGTAACGATGTTCCTGCCATGTCAGCTTGTCGTAGGGAAGATTTCGATGTGTTTAATGGTGGTGATTGTGCAAATGTTAATGATTTTGTTGATTGTAGTCAGGAAAGAAGTGAGGTGTTTTTAAAGAGTAATGTAAGTCAGAAGGGAAGTTCCCGCAGAAAGGTAAAGAACGCGTCGGTGGGCCCTTTGCGAGTTAATTTACGTTCGCGTGGTATGAATTCTAATACTGATGTTATTAAGGAGTAGGTATGTTACGTTGATTCTTAGTGTATTATGTGTGTATAAGTGTTTAGTTATGTTTTTTTTTTTTTCTGATGATTGTTTAGTTTTTTATATATTTTTAAATCGATGTAAATATTTGTTATTACATTATTGATTAGTTATTTGTATTTTGTGTTAAATAAATAACGATTTTGTATATATTTTATATACATATATTTTTCGGGGTTTTCACCGATGTAAAAATTTTTGTTAAAAATTTTTGGTAAATATTTGATTTTTTTATAGGTCGTGATTGAAATTTTTATTTATATTAAGTTATTTAAAGAATTTTATTAACTGTAATATTTTACGTATTTGATTTGATTGTATCGTTATTTATCTTGTTATTTGTTATATTTAATGTTATGATATTTTGTGTTTTATGATTATTTGTAAGTTGTATGTTTTTGATGTTAGAGTATTTTACGATGATGTTTTATTATTGATTGATAAAGTATTTTTATTACGGTTTAATTGTTATGTTTATCGATGGGTTTGTCATTGCGATTTGCAAAATTTTGTGAAATTTGACAATTAAAAGAGAAGTAAAAATAATCAACGATCTCCGATTCTTATTTTTGATTTTTTAATCTACAATTTTATTAGTCGTATTAATAGTTAGTTTAAATTGAGTTCTTTATTAAATTTTTTAAGATTAATAAAAGTTTAATTTTTAAGAGTAAAAAAAAAAAAAAAAAAGATTTAAAAAGTTAGAAATCAGAACCGGAGTCGATTACTTTTATTTCTCTTTTGATCGTCAAATTTAACATAGTTTTGTTAATTTCAATATTTTAATTTATTTTTAGTAATTTTGTTAGTCGGTAGTAAATTACGATTAGTTTTTTATATTAAAGGGTTTATTTAGTAAATTGTTTTATTTATTTAGTGTTATATATTTTTGTTTTTTTAAAATTTGGTTTGTATATTGTTTTTCAATGTTATTTTAGATTTAATATTGTATTAAGGTATGGTAACGATAGTAAATGTTGATTGAGTCTGGACAATTTTAATTACGTAAAATTTCTTTATACACTATATTTCGCGTATAAGTGCCTTGTTTACCAGGAATTTTGCCATTTTTTACTAATATTTTAACATTTTGATAAGATTGTACTCGTGAAAAGGCGACGTAGAGTTGGCCATGAGTAAATACGTGTTCAGGTAAGTAAAGTCCTACGTGTGGGATCGTCTGACCCTGGGATTTATTAATTGTCATCGCGAAGGCAAGTTTTATTGGAAATTGTTTTCTTTTCAATGTAAAGGGGAATTTGGTATCTGATGTCATAAATGGAATTCGGGGAAGAAAAACTTGTTTACCCTGCTGATTGCCTTTAGTTATTTTGGCTTCTATTACGTTAGGATTGAATGCCTTGCATATTAGTTTAGTTCCATTACACAGACCAAATTACGTAGGCATATAACTGGAGTATTGTTTTTAAGACGTAATTCGTGGGGAGGTATTTCAGATATATTTATAGAATTGAGAAATTCTTGTTGGTAGAGATTATAAGTGTCATCTGGAACTGAGTCAAAACTTCGATATGTAACGCATTCATCTGGTAATTGATTTAAGATCATATTGTTGATATAATTTACATATTCATTTTTGGTAGTTAAGATTGCTTTATCGGTAAAGTACTGATGAATTAATATTAAGCGTTAGATATATTTGTTCGATTAGAGTTTGTAATATTGTTCATTATGCCAGTCAATTACTATGCTGTTAGGGATTTTGATCATATCATTATCGACAGTTTTTTCAGTTCCGTCACCGATTCTCAATAGAAAGTTCTTGAATTCATTCGCTTCAGGGCTATTTTTAACCCTCATGTTTTGGCGAAGGTGGAAAACTTCTACCACGGACCATAATGGAGAAAACTTGAAAGTTGCGTTCACTATTTGTACGCGGCCCCCTCGCGGGATAACCAGTAGAATCTGGCGGAAGTCTCCGCCAAACACGAATACTTTTCCTCCAAACGGAAGTTTACAGTCCATCAGATCTCATAGCGTTCTGTCTAAAGCTTCTATTGAATAACGATTCATCATAGAAATTTCATCCCATATGATTAGTTTAGCTAGTTTTAGTAACTTAGCCAAGTGACTTTGTTTACTGATCGTGCAAGTCGATGTTGAATTAATGTCTAGAGGTATTTTGAATCTTGAGTGTGCTGTTTGTCCTCCAGGCATAAGTAAAGCGGCTATATCAGATGAGGCTGTCGCAAGCGCTATCGAATAAGTTGAGCGAATTATTGCTAGTAGGTATAGATATAGAAAGGTTTTTCCTGAACCTTAATTTATATTTGAATTTTGATTAGTAGTTTTGAAGAATCAATTTCGATAAGTTTATCATTTATAGTTAAATATTTGTTGTAGTTGATTTATTTGGGAGGTTTTTTTTAAAAAATTGTAATTAAAATTTTTATTCATTCGTTCAGATATATTTTAACGCATTAGAATTAAAATGCATTAATACCTGCGGGTCCATCGACGAAAATAACCACTGGATTCATTTCTATACGTTTTATTACCGTATTAAATATTAACATTTGGTCTTTATTTAACATTTCAATTTTTCTTAAATCTTCAATAGATACAGGAATATTCAATTCGTTTATTATCAGCCTCGGTAATTCTTCTGAAAGATTGGCGGGTAATCTTAAAGGAGGAAGATCATAGTCGTTTAAAGATTTATAATGCTGTTCTAGAAGAGCTTTTATATGAAGTAGAACAGCATTAATTCATAGATAACCATCAGAATTCCATATCTTGCAAAATCTTCTGACATAGCTATAAAGCTGAAATTCCATAGAGATCGAATATCACTTGGTTCTCCATATAACAGTATTATGGTAAATAGCTGGCGTAGAGCAGAAGGCATTCGGAATTGGGCTGCTTCTTGCATAGTTTGTTGGTATATCTGTTCTGGTTCTATTAATTTTTTTTTTAGTGCACTGTCCTTAAACGTTGGACACTGTAGATTATCTACTATTTTTAAGTCATTAAATGACATAGCTCCTTTAACGTTATTAAGAAGCAAACGTAAGTAGTAACGTTCTCCTTCATTTGGTCTGACTGCATATATTCTTCAGATTACTTTACCCTAACAGTGTTTCGTCCATTTTTTAGAAGTATTGTTCCAGACATAATGTTGAGGGAATTCACGGTATGTATAGTTTCGAGCATCGTGGTCAATTTTATTTATTTTGAAATATTCGGTTAACATCGTTTTTTTATTTTGCTCGTCTTCGATAATGCCGTTTAAGTTAGACGTGTCTTGAAACATGATATTTTGATAGTTAGGAAGATGGACTTGTAAACGAATTACCGAAGGGTTTATGCGTGACATATCAAAGCCAAAAATTCTCCAACATGCTTCCGATGCTGAAACCCATCGGGCATCCAAATATTGATTTATTTCATCGTTGTCAGTAACTTGTAAAGTTGCACGATCATGTCCTTTATAGACATATTTATATAGGTATTTTACGGATTTGATACTGGAGCATACTTCAACATTAATGTGACAGTTGTATTTAAAAGTAAGATATGGGTTATATGGTATAACCCAACGATTATCCATTTTGGTATTTCTAATTATTACATATCATCCATTGTTCCTTCTACGGTATAACGGATATGAATAATCGCCCTCCCGAGTTTCTTGCAAGAATTTTTTAGGGTAACGTTTAGTGCATTGTTTTCTTTCATGCATGGCGCATGACGATTGAAAAATCCACATGGACCATGGATCATAAAGGACGTAACTGTCTGGTATAGCCCGGGTTGTTCTACTGGATCGGGTATTTCTGCTGATATCATATTATCATAATCATACGCTCCACGTAATTTGTCTTCAAGGTTAAATATCAGTAATAAATGCGCATGTGGTAGACAACGTTTTTGAAACTCTTTCACGCGCATATGAGCAATAACACGGCCAAGAACACCTTTATTGTAAAGGTCTTTTTTAAGTTCTTCTAGTTTTATTCTGAAGATCCTGGCTATAAATATAAGTAATTAGGTTTGTTATTATTTGTAATGTATTTATTATGCAAAATTATATAATTTATTTGTAGTGAAACCATACATAGCATATTTATTAAATTAATATATTCTACAAATGGTTTTGTTACTAATGAATCTACATATATGGTACGGTATCATTTTTTTCGATTAATTATAAATAATAAGAACTTTACATATATATATAAAATTTATGAATATGTAAAAGGTTAAATGGATGTTGTATGCGATTTTACACTGTATTTTTACAATTTACACATGATATGCAATTAATTTTTAACTCAGTCTGGAGTTTTGAGTAAAAACTTTTGCATTTATGTATTTAGTTTATAGTTAAGTAAATTAAATTATAGATATATGTTATCTTTGTTTAATATTAGGTTTGACTTATTTAAT